ACGGCCAAAAAAATGTCACATTTTGCCGCTCCGCTGCTCAAACAATCTTTCACTGATCAAAAATCCCTGAGGTCATTTTGAAGGTACATGTGTTGAGATGATGTGGAGCGATTTTGAGGCGAATCGGTGAAACGGCCGAGGAGGAGTCGCTTTCCAACCGACGTATATGAGAATGATTGGTTTTCATTTTTCCATTTTGCAGTGAAATTTATGGGCTTCCTGTTTGTCAGAGGGATTAGCCATAATTACATTTTTTCCATGTCTTGACTTGAGGAACATGTGTACCAAATTACATGGTTCTACAAAAATTTTGACCTCGAACCCCTCCCATAGGCATTTTTAAATTGGCTGTTGTAGGTGGCGCTATAGAGCCAATTTCAAAATTCTAACTTTCAAATGACCTAGACCCAAGAGTTGAAGCATGGATTCAAGTTTTGTGCAAATCAGACTTTGCTTGTGCAAACGGGAGCAAATTTAATGTTGTCAAAAACGGCCAAAAAAAGGTCACATTTTGCCGCTCCGCTGCTCAAACAATGTTTCACTGATCAAAAATCCCTGAGGTCATTTTGAAGGTACATGTGTTGAGATGATGTGGAGCGATTTTGAGGCGAATCGGTGAAACGGCCGAGGAGGAGTCGCTTTCCAACCGTCATGTATGAAAACTTTTGCTGTTCATTTTTCTATTTTGCAGTGAAATTTATGGGCTTCCTGTTTGTCAGAGGGCGGAGCCATAATAATATTTTTTTCTTGTCTTGACTTGAGGAACATGTGTACTAAATCTCATGTTTCTACGACAAACTTGACCTCCGAAAAGTCCCATAGGGGTATTATTTTGGCTGTTGTAGGTGGCGCTGTTCTGTCATTTTTTGAGTCCCATAAAAATAAACACCAAAATATCAAATTTTTCGCCAGGTCTGATTTTTGGGCCAAAATTAACAACTTTTCATGCATGTTCAGGGGGTCAAATTAAGGCTCAAAGTGCAGAAGAAAAAAGAAAGAAAGAAATAAAAAAGGAATTTTTTTTTAACGTCTCGAGCAAAAACAATATAGGTTTCAATGGCATGTGATACATCATTTTAAAGCGTTTGAGTTTACGCACGCAACTGTCACGTTTTGGTGAGTGACGGGCGCTGACGCGTCCGTCACGCACCGCCACCATTTGTTTTCACCATTGTGAAAGCAATAGGCCCTTACCCCGTTCGGGGCTCGGGCCTAATAAATAAATAAATAAATAAAAAAGGAATTTTTTGTGACTTGTCTCGAGCAAAAACAATATAGGTTTCAATGGCATGTGATTCATCATTTTAAAGCTTTTGAGTTTACGCACGCAACTGTCACGTTTTGGTGAGTGACGGGCGCTGGCGCGTCCGTCACGCACCGCCACCATTTGTTTTCACCATTGTGAAAGCAATAGGCCCTTACCCCGTTCGGGGCTCGGGCCTAATAATATATCCTGCACAGACTATATTTTTTGCCTTTAACATGTTTGCACACTGGTGGCCGGGCCTTAGCCCACGGGGCCCGGCCGGGCTCAGCCCGAAGGGATGACGTGGGCAGTCCCTCCTGTGGGCCCACCACCTGCAGAGGGGTCCGTGGTGGCGCGGTGCTGAGAGGACTGGGCGGCAGTCGAAGGCGGAGACCTCGGCGACCCAGTCCGCACACACAACATCTGGCTCTTGGGACGTGGAACGTCACCTCAGTGGGGGGGAAGGAGCCCGAGCTCGTGGGGGAGGTTGAGCGATACCGACTAGAGATAGTCGGCCTCACCTCCACACACAGCTTGGGCTCTGGAACCCAACTCCTTGAGAGGGGTTGGACGCTCCACTTTTCTGGAGTTTCCCGCGGGGAGAGGCGGCGAGCTGGGGTGGCCATTCTCATTGCCCCCCATCTCAGCCGCCATGTGTTGGAGTTCTCCCCGGTGAATGAGAGGGTCGCGTCCCTCCGCCTCCGGGTGGGGGACAAGTCTCTCATTGTTGTGACGGCCTACGGGCCTAACAGCAGTGCAGAGTACCCGGCCTTCTTGGAGTCCTTGGGAGGGGTACTGGACGGTGCACCGCCCGGGGACTCCGTCATTCTCCTGGGGGACTTCAACGCCCATGTGGGAGGCGCCAGTGACACTTGGAGAGGGGTGATCGGAAAGAACGGCCCCCCTGATTTGAACCCGAGCGGTGTTCAGTTGTTGGACTTCTGTGCCAGTCACAGTTTGTCCATCACGAACACCATGTTCGAGCACAAGGGTGTCCACCAGTGCACGTGGCACCAGGACACCCTAGGCCGGAGGTCGATGATCGACTTTGTTGTCGTATCATCTGACCTTCGACCGCGTGTCTCGGACACTCGGGTAAAGAGAGGGGCGGAGCTGTCAACCGATCATCACCTGGTCGTGAGTTGGATCCGCTGGCAGGGGAAGAAGCCGGTCAGACCTGGCAGACCCAAGCGTATAGTGAGGGTCTGCTGGGAACGTCTCGCTGAGCCCCCTGTCAGACGGACTTTCAACTCGCACCGCCGGGAGAGTTTCTCCCAGGTCCCGGCGGAGGAGGGAGACATGGAGTCCGAGTGGACCATGTTCTCTGCCTCAATCGCCGATGCCGCGGCTCGTAGCTGTGGTCGCAAGGTCTCTGGTGCTGGTCCCGGCGGCAACCCCCGAACCCGGTGGTGGACACCGGCAGTAAGGGATGCTGTCAGGCTGAAGAAGGAGTCCTATCGAGCCATGATGGTTCGGGGGACTCCTGAGGCAGCTGTCCAGTACCGGCAGGCCAAGCGTGCCGCGGCCCGGGCCGTTGCAGAGGCAAAAACCCGGGACTGGGAGGAGTTCGGAGAGTCCATGGAGCATGACTATCGGTCGGCCTCGAAGAGATTCTGGCAAACCATCCGGCGCCTCAGGAGGGGGAAGCAGTTCTTTGCCAACACCATGTACGGTGCGGGTGGAGAGCTGCTGACCTCGACTGGGGATATTGTCGGGCGGTGGAAGGAATACTTTGAGGTTCTCCTCAATCCCCCCGTCACGTCCTCTGTTACAGAGGCAGAGGCTGAGGATGTTGGGGCGGATACATCTATCTCCCTGGCTGAGGTCACCAAGGTGGTTGGTAGCCTCCATGGTGGCAAGGCTCCGGGTGTGGATGAGATCCGCCCTGATTATCTAAAGTCTCTGGATGTTGTAGGACTGTCTTGGCTGACACGTCTCTGCAACATCGCGTGGCGATCGGGGGCAGTGCCAATGGAGTGGCAGACCGGGGTGGTGGTCCCTCTCTACAAGAAGGGGGACCGGAGGGTGTGTTCCAATTATCGTGGGATCACACTCCTCAGCCTCCCCGGTAAGGTCTACTCCAGGGTACTGGAGAGGAGGTTACGGCCGATGGTCGAATCTCGGATCCAGGAGGAGCAGTGTGGTTTTCGTCCCGGTCGCGGAACACTGGACCAGCTCTATACTCTCCATCGGATACTCGAGGGTTCATGGGAGTTCGCCCAACCTGTCCACATGTGTTTTGTGGATTTGGAGAAGGCGTTCGACTGTGTTCCCCGGGGTGTCCTTTGGGGGGTTCTCCGGGAGTACGGGGTCGGGGGTCCTCTGCTGAGGGCCATTCGACCCCTGTATGACCGGAGCCAGAGCTGTGTTCGCATTGCCGGCAGTAAGTCAGACCTGTTCCCGGTGAATGTTGGCCTCCGACAGGGCTGCCCTTTGTCACCGGTTCTGTTCACTGTATTAATGGACAGAATATCTAGGCGCAGCCAGGGGTCGGAGGGGGTCCGGTTCGGAGACCACAGGATTTCATCTCTGCTGTTTGCGGACGATGTTGTCCTGTTGGCTCCAACGAACCAGGACCTGCAGCATGCACTGGGGCGGTTTGCAGCCGAGTGTGAAGCGGCTGGGATGAGAATCAGCACCTCCAAATCTGAGGCCATGGTGCTCGACCGGAAAAAGGTGCCTTGCCCTCTGCAGGTGGGTGGAGAGGTCCTTCCTCAAGTGGAGGAGTTCAAGTATCTCGGGGTCTTGTTCACGAGTGAGGGAAGAATGGAGCGTGAGATTGACAGGCGGATCGGTGCAGCGTGCGCAGTGATGCGGTCGCTGTATCGGACCGTTGTGGTAAAGAGGGAGCTGAGCCGAAAGGCAAAGCTCTCGATTTACCGGTCAATCTTCGTTCCCTCCCTCACCTATGGTCATGAGCTTTGGGTAATGACCGAAAGAACGAGATCGCGGATACAAGCGGTCGAAATGAGCTTCCTCCGCAGAGTGGCTGGGCGCTCCCTTAGAGATAGGGTGAGGAGCTCAGTCACACGGGAGGAGCTCGGAGTAGAGCCACTGCTTCTCCACGTCGAGAGGAACCAGTTGAGGTGGCTCGGGCATCTGTTCCGGATGCCTCCTGGACGCCTCCCTGGGGAGGTGTTCCGGGCACGTCCCACCGGGAGGCGGCCCCGCGGAAGACCTAGGACACGCTGGAGGGACTATGTCTCTCAGCTGGCCTGGGAACGCCTTGGGGTCCCCCCGGACGAGCTGGAGGAAGTGTGTGTGGATAGGGAAGTCTGGGCGTCTCTGCTTAGACTGCTGCCCCCGCGACCCGACAACGGATAAAGCGGAAGAAAATGGACGGATGGATGGATGTTTGCACACTGTCTTTTGCAAAACCTGAGTGATTCTATCCATGCCAAATGTGACATTCCCCAAATTTCTCCTGTGTGAGATCAATAAAGTCTATCTTTTCTTATCTTAGGCCTGTTGTTGGCTGTTGGGTGTTGAGTTTATGGCCTTACTATTTTGACTTGGTTAACTAAGTTATAGTGAGAGTGGGAAACGTGTTCATTGTCAAAATAGACTGGATTTGCCACAGTGCTTTGATCGCCTCGCCACAGGTCGTGACCCATCTCTCAGCTTTGTTCTGCTCCATCAGCTGAGGGAAAATCTACGGCTTATAATCAAGTGCAGCCTATACACATACATTCTTTTAACTTTCAGAATTTCCTGCAAGTACTGTAAATGAACAAACAAATCTCATTTCTCTCAGGGTTGCCAGTCACCACCAGCACAACTTGATGACTGTGGCAAATCTGGGTGTGGTCTTTGGTCCCACTCTTCTGCGGCCTCAGGAGGAGACTGTGGCGGCCATCATGGACATCAAATTCCAAAACATTGTGGTGGAGATCCTCATTGAGCACCACGAGAAGGTAAAGGTCATCTCCCTATGATTCTTAAATGATAGTTGTGAAGTTGTAAAAACACAAGATAATGTTCACTTAAATGTGGCCATACACATTCTGCATCAGAAGCATTAAGGAAAGGAAAGGTTATGGTATGGTATGGTTTTTATTTTTACAGAGACAGTGTACAATAAACATTAGCCAGAAGGAGAGATGCATTGTACCAGGTTTTAGCAGCAGTGCTAATTTACACCTGTAGTCCCTATAGTAGTAGTGCTATATGTATAGCACAGTTCATACACAACACAAGGCAACTCAAAGTGCTTATCAAAAAAAAAATTGATTCTTCTTTTAAGACCAGAGTGGTTTTTTTGTAGTGGTCTCTCTGAGATGGGGTCTCGTGATGCTCCTTATCGACAGTTCCTTGGTTGAAATATTTTGGCCCTTTTAGATCTGTTTTTTCAGACAAAAACGTGAAAAGGGATGGCCGCTCTTGCTTAGAGAGCAAGCCCAAAGTAGACTCTAAACCAAACAGATACATTGTTTTTTATGAAGATGAAGACTGTTGTGATCTGATTTACTCACAAAAGGCATTAAAAAGAAAAATTAGGTTCCCCAGCTCTGTTGTATCCCTGACTCCCTGTTTGGCTTCAGCTCTGTATACCCCAGGATTACTCAAGCATATTTGTTTGGCCCTTTCAAGAATGGCACATATTTCACAAGATAAAAACGCAAAAAATATTAACTATTTAATTGTAACTTTCATCAGATTACAGAACTGTCACGTTCAAAATATACAAAAATGCAAAAATTAAAAGCATGTGACATACAATATCACAATGTCACCCCTCCCCCCCTCTCTCTAACTCTCTCACACACACATCAATTGAAAAGTGTGATATTGACCAAACCTGGAGCTTGCCTGATTCTCAACATATTGATATGATCTATATTTATGTCTTCAACCAGCTCAGGACTCGCATGTAATCCTAGTGTTGTGTTTGCAGTATTGATATTCACGGCACTGGTATTGAGCAGCCTCCTTTTCCATCTTAATGAGCTTCTTCTGGGCTCTTGAACTCGAGAGAGACACGAGGAGGGAGAGAGACGCGAGGAACATGAACAAGAATTTAAACAAGTTGCAGAACTCTCGAGCAGTATTTGAATTGGTGTTTTTCAGCTATTTTGGTGGTAAATTTCCAACATAAAACACAGAGATTGACAAATTCCTCCCCTGCGGCTGTTATTAACCTCGTAAGTCCAGCGGTGGTCTCTCAGTCTGTATTATTTCTTGCTTTGATTTAAAGTCCAGTTGATAAAAAAATCTACAGCCGAATCATTCATTTTCCAGCAAAAGAAATAGCACTGATAGGACCGATTGTTAGCAACTCTGGTATGAACTTCATGCTAAGTATCGCCTCCTATCGGTGAGGCTTTTTCCTTGTGTATTCTTCTCTGATCAAATCATTTAAACTAAATATAAATAGTACATACAGTACATGCTTGCAATACACTACTAAAAACTATGAGATGTTTGACAAATGTTTTCAAAGCAGGATTTTTGAAACAAACAGCGATATATCAACAGCACGAGCTGAGTGCACTCGCACAGTCCACTGTGAGGGAGCGATCTGGGGGGAGGCAGGAGCGCTGCCTCACCTTGTGTCTTTGTAAAGGAAAAATAGGATTTCAGCGATTTGATGACAGAAATTATCATAACTGGGTGAAACCGTGCCTAAAATACATTAAAATCATAGGACAGTGGAAAACAATTATATATATCAACTATGATAATTATTTTTTTCAATAATGGCAGAGCCTCCCCTGACTGCACGTCATTGCTTCTGACCACACGCTTCTGTCCCCATGGAAACACTCAAATCCAAGACAAACATGTATAAGTCCCACATCAAAAAGAGACTAACATTATTTTAATTGGGGTACATGTGGTCTTAAATGATTCTTTTCACAATTAAGCTAAAATCTGCAAAAAAAGTCTTGACCTACCGTTTTTAGAGCAATCTGTCCTAGAATGTGATAACATGCAATTAAATACAAAAAGACTCTACCAGGAATTGAACTAGGGATGCTGCATCGTGAGCGCAGTGTTTTAACCTCTAGACCACCAATTCACGCAGCCAGAATTGCTCTGAAGAACGGAGTCAAAGCAGCAAATTTTGCATCACACGTGAACTTATCAGCTGTCTCAATTGTTCAAAGGCGTCCCGATATAAATCTTCGTTTTAGTCTTTGTTTTGTCATTAATGATTTGAGAGTCATAACAAGACCTTTTTTAGTTCTGCGCCACATGTTATTTTACCTCTGAGATTAGTGAGCCGCGCGGAGTTCTGGCAACCCGATCACGGACTTACATGACACTTCCTGATTGGCGAAACAGCAAAGGGTAGGACATCAAAATCAAAACAATAACAACTTTTACGGGTTGTAAAACTAATTTTGATAATCAAATAACTCGGCTGAACTACTGTTATCAGTTAAAGATGTATACGAAAAGAGCATGATTTAATAACTCCTTTTGAAATATGGGGCCATTTAATGATGACTTGACATGCAAATATTACATACTTCTACTTTAAACCCTATTCTGATTTGGACTTGATGCATGAGGCAATGGTATGGCCTGCAATTTACTAAGATAATAACAGATATTTCCATGTGAATATTGCTAAAACATTGATGATTCATAGGTCGCTGTGTCTGTCACCGATGCAACACTGAAATTCCCACACTGTGGAACAAATGGATCTATAGCGACAGTTCAGACTGACAGAACATATCTCCATCATCATCCCATCAGCCTCCGACCTGCTGCATTTAAACAGAGCCTTGCATTTCAGCCTGTGCAGCAACCCGCCTCCTCCCCATCACCATCACAACAGTGTTAGGTCTCTCTTCATGTCATCGGCTCATGACCAGGGGGGATTTCACTTTCAGTTCCCTCTTGCATATGTCACACTATATTTATACTGGGGTCTAATTGCCAAACTATAGCCACGTACTTATATTTCATTTCATTTCCTTTTCATTTTGTACATTTAGAGTTACAAAACATAACTAAAACAAGATTCTCAGAGACAAATGTATAAATAAATACATAACAAAAGCACAAACATTAATAAGTAATAATGTTGACTTGAACATAGATAAGAACTATACATAAATTAAAAAATAATTATAAATTGTCTCATTTCATGTACGAAAAGGAGTGGGTAGTAGATCATATCATACCATATCATGAAAATAGGGACATACTAATAATCTTTTAACTTGTGGTGCCTGAAGAGAGCTTAGTACTTTAATCAATCCTGGGCTAAACTAAAGCTGCTTGTTCCATGACAACGATTTTTTTGTTGTCATCATTTTGCAGTGAAATAACGATCCATCCTCTTCTGTGATCTTTTGCTGCAGATCTTCCGGGACGTCCCAGTGGGTGTGTTGAACTCTCAGGCGTCTCGAAGAGGAAGTGCGGTGAACAGGACGCCGTCGTGCTGCGAGAGGCCGCTCACGCTGTTCCACACGCCCACACACTCCCAAAACAGTGAGTGACTCAAAAGCGTAGATCCGACCACTCGAGTCTGAGACACTGGGAAGTTTACGCAGTTTATCGAGAAAATCATGAAGATAATCTGCTGCTGTTTTTTAAAATGCCGGTTCCATTTATCCAAAATTGTCGCGCAGATTTGTCTCGACACATTGATCACAAAGCAGGTCAACTATTTGTGCTTGGTGCTATGTACTGCAGGGGAAATCTGACGGCATACAGTTACAATGTCGACTTGTGCCTTGGCCTTTCACAATGACAAATTGAGATTGCGATAAACCATATTATTGAAACTTTATGCCACTAATGTTATGTACAATGAATCCGGATAATCCTTTTCGATGCATCCATTTGATAAAAAGGCATGTTCTAAAAAAATAAACAGCAGAATTAAGTCATATTTAGCCCTATTGAACCTTCTATAGCAAAATAAAACATCTCTCCAATTTTGCAAAGAAAATGTATAGATTGAGGTGAAAATTGTTGTCTATTGTTTTTTTTTCCCAAGTAAGGCCGCACATAATGGCTTGACCGAGTGTGCTGGAATGAAAAAAATAGACAATATGAAAAAGGATACAAATCTGCACAGTTATGTTGCTCCCAAGTGTGGTCTGTAAATAAAAGACACTTGAGAGAGCAACATAATTGTGCAAATGTGTCTCCTTTTTAATTATTGCGTCAGGCCTAATTGTGCCTATTAGTGTATATCACTGTTAACAAGTTTGTTTTTGTTAAATGTTGCAACACATTATTTAAGGAGGGAAAATAAACAGTGTCTGTAAAAGTGATGATGGAAACACATACAGTAAGACAAAGCTAAAGTTACAGTTGGAACCGTAACTTTACATAAGATAAGACAGACCTCATCATCTCATGTTACAGCAGAATAAAAAGTAGAAAATAAGAGCAGTCAGATTGCACACATCAAACAGGATCTATTAGTTCATATAATCGATAATACAATTAAATAATAACATAAGTAATAAGATAAGAAAGGGTTAGGACTAGTGATAGATGTACATCAGATGAGTGGAATATGTAACTATAATAATAATTACAACAGGTAAAGTGACTAGTTACATTTGGATCATAATCAGATTATGTGTGTGGAACTTTTATAGACGCAGCAGTTCTCATTGTACAGTCTGGCAGCAGCAGGGAGGAATAAATGACATAGCAAGGTTGAATAAGTCTGTCACTGAAGCTGCTCTCCAGGGCAGATTCAGTACTAATCCATTCACTCTGACTGGGCCTGTACGTAAACTTACGCCTGCAACTGTACGTCACCACAAATAACAAATATCAGTTGTTAGTTGGACTCAGACTTGCAGATGCTTTGGCCTCCTGCAGCTGAAAAGACTTTGATGCTGGCTGTGGTTTCTGGCAGTGAAGAGTGTTGAGTGTCATGTTTCCCGTAGGTGAGAAGAGGAACAGTGTGGCTCCCGTGGCAGAGCTCCAGTCCAACACGGCCAACTGTAACAGCAGCAACAGCAGTAGCAGCAGCAGCGGCAGCCAGGGCCGGACCCCCAGACACAGCCTGACCAGTACCGACGGAGAGCTGGAGCACAGGAACAACAGGCCCTGCTCGCTGTGAGTACAAGACACTGTCAAGCGCATTCGTTTAATTGCAAGGTTTGATTTAATGTGTTCTTGTATAGCCCTAAATCACAACAGAAGTTATCTCAGAGGACTTTACACAACCGTTGAATTTTCTGACACAGATCAGAGAATCAAACAGTTCAAACACAAGAAATAAAACAGAAAACACATTGGTATTGGTCAATAAGGAGCAGATGACAAATGTTGATAAATGTCCATACATGATCTTCAATTAATACATAAATAAATAATAATCTTATATTATGATACACTGCAATTATGATGCAATATGTATGTCTTTTATGTTTGTTTCTATTTTGTTTTGTTAAGGCAGTGATACCCAAACTTGGTTCTGTTCAAAAAGGACACACATGCACATTTTACACATTGTCATTAATATAAACCTCAGCCTTAACTGCAGATTGTAATGTGTCAAAAATGTGTCCATCTTATGCTAGCAGTGTCATTTATCCTACTGCATTTTTCGTTCATTCATTCGTCTCGCGCCCTCCCCTCTGTAATTGCCCCGCGCCCCCCACCTTAGGAACCACTGTGTTAAGGCAAGGCAGGTTTACAGCCTTTGTATTGCACAGTTTATTCACAGGTGCTTAATAAAAACGAAAAAAGAAACATATCCCTGTACATTGAAAGGTGTAAAGATACGATACTGTTTTTAAACCTGGATTTGAGCGCTGTCATAGTAGAAGCCTGTCCATTTTCAGGAAGACTGTTCCAGATTTTGGCTGCACATATCTGAAACGCTGCCTCCTCATGTTTAGTCCTGACCGGGGGCACCTGCAGTCCCTGAGCCTTTTCTGTGAACTGTGTTGGGCAAATAAACTTGCCTGGCCTTGCCCTGCCTTGATACGATGGACTATTTATACAGCAGTTACATGATTGAAACATAAAAAAGGCCGAGGTTGATTGTTATTGAGAGACTGCACATAATGTTTTATAACATTACTGGTTTTCTTTAGAATCAGTTTGGATTTTATAAAATAATTAATGCATTTTAAAATACATTACACAAGATTATATGGTTTGGTGCCATAATAAAAATGTAGGCAACAGACACGTGTAACCCAGGTTATTTTTATTGTTCTCCTGGCTAGCTTGCCACTTGCATATATGAATAGTATGCTTATATTATAATTCATTATGTTACCAACAGGAACCATATCTGCATTGGGCTAAGACCAAAAGCCAGGTGCAGCTCACAAGAGAAAGAGAGAGGTGCTTAAAAGTTAACAGAAACAGTGATACGGTGCAATTGTCAATTATATTGAATTCAAAGTATTTACAAAAGAGACTGGGGTATGTAAGGTAACCCGGGTTACACCAGACCATAGCGGTTACGTGGACAGTGTGAGGTTGGGAAGGGTCCAGCTGGAAGGGTCCATGGGCCATAGAAACATGAAAGGGGCCTCAACCTGCAGTTTTCCAGGTCTGCTCCAGAGGGTATTTGCATGGTGTCAGTGCCAATGCATTAAACTGAGCCCATATATAATAATAAAGCATCATATAATAACATATATAATTGGGCATGAGATTTATTGTTGAATTGCACGAAGGAGTGAAGAACTGGGTCCAAGAAACACAAGCTTTAATTCAACCAACGGCAAGAACACACACTTTTTCCATCAAACTCATTGCTGAACAGATAAATAGCAGCAGGAGGTGAAATAAATCTAACGTTCAATAAAGAGCTCAGCATATTAAAGTAGATCTATTTGCGCATTTTATTTCTGATCCTAAGACAATACACACTCATACTCATAGTGTATATTCATCTGAAATAGTAATATAGTGTTAGTTATATGATAAAGATATAGTAATCTTCCTCTACGTCTCCTCCTACTGCCCTTACATTGACCAGTGCAACGTTTCTTCTAAAGGAGTTAGAAAAAGATCACCTTTGTTCGGTTCAGAGTGCGGAAATGTCTGTTTTTCAATGCACAGATAAACAATAGCAGGAATATTGAGTAAGTAAGTCATCTTATCATATATTGCGCCTTACACGACGCTCTTTACAATCGTTGGCATTTCTCCTCTTGCTCCGCACAGAGATGGGAGCAGGGTTATCATACAAGAGGAATATGTGTTTATTAATTTGCATGGATAGAGCTTTATATTATGTGATGAAGAGCTATAAGCATTAAAACTACAGAATTACACATTTTACTGCAGTTGAATGAAACACATCAATAATTAATGAGAAATCCCCAAAAATACAAGAAATTATATACCTGCTTTTATGTTTGTATGTGTCTATCAATAATTGATGCTCTGTTTGTTTGTCAATTCCTTAGAACTTAGGCAAGTTTAGCACAGTTCAAGCAAAATGTAAGTGCTGAACAAAACACAACAAGAAAAAAAGGCATTCAAATCATAAATAATGTGGCCAATATATTTATTTTTATTTTAGCTGAGACTGAGAGAGCCGATACGAAGAGGTGTTAGGGAAATACGCGGGGTTGGTTTGTTTGTGGACTCCATCAAATGTTATTAGCAAAGCGGATGCACGTTCATTGTCCTTCTGCTTTGGTTTCTTCCATCGGCTGTATTTTAAGTGTTGTATTTCAAACCAAAAACCTGCAGCTTATATTCAAGTGAGGTTTATATGTGTAAAAAACATATATTCTTTGGAAACAGGTGCACTTACTAGTCCTGCAAGTACTGTACCTAACAGGCTAAATATGGAATGAGTTATGTATTATGGCAGTATGTCTCACTCTTTCCATTTTATTTATTTTGTAATGTTTTGTTCTAGTGTAGTGTGCTTCATGCGGGTCTTCACTCCCGCTCCTCCGCAGAGCTGTAATGAAAACACATCAGCGAAAGAGGAGGGAGCGTATTCGTGAACTGCCTGAACTGTCAAACGCAAGTCTCCAGTGACTCAGACATGAACTCTATAATAATCTATGTGTTTGTTCTGCTGTAGCTAATCTAGAAGAAAAAGAAGATTCATTTGTATTGCACATTTCTGCAGAGATTTATAGCTCACAGTGCTTACCGCCTGATTTGAATCCCCTTTAGCACATTGTGTTTTATTTATTACAAGAATCGGAGTAAACAAGCCTTATTTGACACTAAACACACCTGAGGCCAGAATTGGTCAATGCTAACTATACACAAGGGGTTTTCACACCGATGAGAAACCAGGACATAACAACCCGATAAGTGATCCTCCTCGGATACAAGGCTTAGTGCCGGGACGTGCAGGAATTTAGGCGTGGACTTGTGACGTATCCCGACGGCCACGCACCAGCGGGACTTAGAAACGTGGTGCAGGTGAATAGAACAGAATGATCCAGACTATTGTTCTGTAGTGCATTTCTGTAATTCCACTTAAAAGTGAAACTAATTGTAAGTGTGAATTGCCACCAATTGTGCAAGTCCTCCCACTTTACAAAAATGAGAGAGGCCTGTAATTTTCTTCCTAGTTATACCCTTAACTATGAGAGAGAAAAATTTAGAGAAAAAACAGAAAAAGGCACTGGTGTCGACAGTGGCTCAGTTGGTATTGGTCTTTTAACCAAATGTAATCTGCTCCCACTGATTTCTGCTGCCGTTGTGTCCCTGGGAAAGCCACTTAACCCCACTTTGCCTGAAGCCCCCAGTTATAATTATAATTATGTTATAATTATCAACATTATAACAAAAAAGGCCACATATAAATTATATCCTTATTTCATATTGTTGAATTAGACATAATTTTCCATGTGACACGTCCTACAGTTGAATCGTATTATCATAGCACAATAGGCAGAAGTATATCCGATCGGGAACCTCTGCTTGAGAAACTCACAAAGAAGCCTGAAGAGTGAGTGTCTGTGGCTTTATGTTACAGCTACATGGCTCAACCCTCTTTTAGCAAAACAGGAACTCCACTTTTGTCAGGAAAAGGTCAACAATCATTTGTATATGTCGACCAATTATCTGGCGAAACATATATCAGAAAAGTAGCTGTAATTTAAAATGAAAGTACTTGATGTTTTCAACCCTTATACAGTACAACAGCTATAGCCTGCACTGCACAGGTACAGTATATACGCCAGTCTCGAAGAATAATAAACAGCGTATTCCCTGGTGTGCAATATATTTCCGCAGCTGTCTATTTTAGTTTGCTCATTTGTCAGGAGATTCCAAGAAGACGTCTCTCTCTCGAGTCTTTGTCGATGGGTCTTGTGTTCAAAGGTTAACTGTCTCCCTTCCAGCCTCGAGGTTATTTTCAGATTTGACGCCTCAGTCCTTATACACACTCCTCGTTTGTCTTAGGTTGAGGAATTCCTTTGGGCTTGTTTAAAATCATATTTTTAATTCTCCTGTCACACCCCAGAGCGGGTTGTTGTTTCACTCACTCACATTTACTAAAATTGAGGTTGTGTTGAGTATTTGAGCATGATTATAAATTGTAAGCAATAGTTTCATCATTCCAACTTGGGTTGCAAATTTAATGTGGGACGTTTTGGGAATATTTCTTTTTACTCCCTCCAAAACATTCCACATTAACCATGCTATCTTTTTTGCATCCAACTTATTAGCTTGTCATCAACTACAGTAGATAAAGTAAGCAAGTAAGTAATTTATTTATATAGCACATTTTTACAGACCAAATCCCAAACAATGGTCACTCATTACATTCGTACCTATTGTGCATGTTTTTAGTGGTAGAAACCGGTGGAAACTTACGCAGACACGGGGAGAACATGCAAGCTACACTCAGGGCTGGACTGGGACAAAAAAACGGGCCGGGCATTTTTTCCTTCTTACCGGCCCAGGCATGTTTTTGTCACTTTTTTACAGTTTGTTTATACCAGGGATCGGCAACTCAAAAGGTTCAAAGAGCCATATTTGACAAAAAATACTAAAAACATCTGTCTGGAGCCGCAAAAAAAGAACAGCCTTGTATAAAGCTTATATGAAGGTTACACAATGTAGCTACATTAGCTACATTAGCCTATTATCTAAATGACCAAGTAAAGGCTACA